CGTAGATTAAAAATAGCCATAGTGAAGGTAAAATTATTACGTTAAATAATTGTTTTTATACGAATTAAATATTGATTCAACGTTTATTTGTTGCAATACCGTGAAATAAATTGTATTATATATTTTTTCTGTTTACACTAAATTTAAAGTTCTGTTTACATGTTATAACAATTAGAATGTAGACGTTTTGCCGTTTCACGGTTTTTCCTCTGTTAATTATGTGTTTATAAATCATTTCAAACTAAAGCAGCACCATGCCCACCCTTAATTAAACCGTCTCAGTAGTTTACCGTAATTAATAATCTATTTTCGGAATTTATACGAGAATTTTTGAATTTTAGTAAATACTAGAGTCAGTGCATCGCGTATTGAAATAATAGCTTATACAGATAATCTTTTGAAATTACTCTTAATTAGGGAAAATCTTGAATCTTGTATGGAAGATGAAGATTTTCAGGAAATATTTATTTTTCAACAATGAATTTTTGTTTTATCGATTAATAACGTACGAAATGATTTTTGGAAAATTTTCTTCGTTTGAACGTTCGTTTAAGGTTCGACTATGATTATCAAATCTCTCGAAACACCGTAGAATGTTCAATTTTAAAAGTAACTTCTTCAATTTTTGGATAATCTGGGTAACGTGTTAGTGTTGACGATACACTTTCGAGTATAGACGTTAAAGTTCATAGAGTGGTCGGGGGCTACTAGCTAGCCTATGTCCACCCTGTACACACTCAGCCTTCTTGTAACACTTGTATACATTAGAATCAATTAGAATTTCAATACAATAGACTGAATAACAATTCATTTTAACTAATACCTATTAGAAATTTTCCTTTTAAAACAAATATAAATCATTTTACCAATTACTGGTACTTGCTAGACATTTAATATCAGACTTTAAATATTCTCCTTTCGGTTCTTTTAAATACAATCAAATAATTTCTTCAATTATCGATACTGACTTGGAATACTCCGCTTCGAATAAAATATTTCGAAATTATTTTGAAGGTTTAGGGAAATAAACATTTGAATTTTAGTCATCGTTGTTCTTCAGACTTGTCGAATAGGATATTGAAATGACTTTGAGAGGTTGCCTTTTCGTTACTTTTCTTCCAGCAATTGAAATTAATTTGAAATTTTTCATATATTTTCTCTGATATTGAATTTTGTTTACTAATAATTTACCATCCAACGAATTTGCATGAATTGCATGTTAAGTAGTTAGTTGATTTATTATTGTATATTGTGAGCTGATTTGGAACGAGTGCACTATGCCCACCCTAAATTAAACCGTCTCAGTAGTTTACCGTAATTAATAATCTATTTTCGGAATTTATACGAGAATTTTTGAATTTTAGTAAATACTAGAGTCAGTGCATCGCGTATTGAAATAATAGCTTCATCCCTAGTTCGTTTATTATTGAATATTTTTACGCGTTTAACTTATGCTTCTCCCCAATTCTCGTCGCGTATTTTATTCAAATTTTCTTATATTCTAGAATCGAAAAAGATACGAATTCGCGATTTTTCTTTTGATTCTTTCAATT